AGCCATATAATAAATTTAGTCTCTTTTGTTGCAGACACTGGGGATTGTCAGGGGGACGGCTCTGGCGCGGCGCTAGCCCGTTGCCACAAACAGTTTTTGTTTCTTCGCATCAAATAGCATGGAGAGCTGGCGCCGCGCCAACTCCAGTTCTCTGCCTGCCCCAGCGTCCGCGGCGAAAACGACCGTAAATAGGGAGTTAAATTCGATATCTTTTCTATTTTCTCTATTCTTGTTACTCTGTTTTTGTATTTGTAATTTTGATTTTCCCGCATCATGGCCCAATCTTGATTCAGCCTCTTATTTTTACAGTTTTCCAGAGTTTTTATGCCATAGTGTGTGTTTTCAGGTTGAATGGGCCGTTGGCAGTCTGGCAAAGCGATCTACGCTCGTATGTTCAGTTGGCTTATCAAACGCGTGAATCGAACGCTTGCTGCGAGCCTCGACGAGTCGGCGCATTACATTGGAGTGCTTGATATAGCCGGTTTCGAAATTTTTGATGTAAGTTGGAAAGGAGTCGGTCGGGAGGTCCATGTTGCGGCGACACGGACAAACTGTCCACTAGATCCTTGGTAGTTGGCTCGAAATACTGTAGCAGTTGCACATTAAATCCTGGTGCTAACGCCGCGAACCAAGCCCATCCCTTTCCGTTTTATCCGTTTGTACATTCCTTTTCCTGGCCTGTTCTCTTAGTCAAAACACAGGTCACTGTTAGTGGAACTGATAAAAATGCAACTCCCTCGCGACTCGACTTCCAAGCATTTTCCAGCACTGTAGCTCGCCCATATCTAAGAGAGGCCTCATTTTCGGTACATAACAGCTCAAATCGTAATAACTGGTTCATTTCATCCAACACTCCATGGAATTCATCCAAACGTTGTTGTCGTTCCCCTCGCTAAACGTACGAAGGTGAGCTGGGAATTCCTGCCCCCGATAGTGATCAGGTACTGGCCCCACTATCAGTTTCCTCAGAAGCACGTATCCTCTCCTCTTTTGCCCGCCTGTCCGAAATGAGAGAAAACGACAGCCAGAAATTGATAAAAGATCTACAGATGAACAATTTCTGGTGTCTGCCGGTCTACGAGTCGGCCTGTCCGTCTATTTGTTTACTATGCAGCCCGCAGATTTGGAAAGTCCAATAATACAGAAAATCGCTCAGGTGTGGCAGTGTGAGGGGGACCAACTGAGAGGTGTACTTAGAACTTTGCTCTTATCTTTAGAGATTCAACAGCTAAGAGACGGGGCCGCGTTCATACAGCGTTCGCGATTCGAGGCGTTTCCACTGCTCATAGTTAGACCCCCACCCGAGTCAGTTCTTTCGCATTCGAGGGGAGATTCTTTTTACGGTTGAAGCAGGCCAATGGTTAGCGGTAGGGCGCGATCGCTCGCAGCCGCTCGATTCGCTTATGCTCGACTGCATCGCTAGAGTATGAACGCGCCTTGTCACTAACACTCATCGTGATCAAAGGCGCCGATAGGCGCCAACTAGAGATATGAGATTTTCTGGGAAAGGTGGACCGGAGAAGCGTAAGCGAGCAGCGTCACTGTGAGGGCCTTCTCACGTAGATCAAGAAATCCAAGTTGCACAAGAGAACCTTGCAATCGGCATTCAGTTCACTGTATTCGTATCGTGAACTAACTGATTTGACGCGGAAGTGCTAGAGAAAGGTGGGCCAACTAACTGGTGAACGACCAGCCCACAGTTTCTTTGTCTTCTCAACTCGTATTTACTGGCCTGCACCTTAAAGTTCTTGAGATGTAGAAGCTAAGAATCGCTGCCGACCGATTCAATAAGAAGTTCAAGCTGTTTTACAGTTTGATTTCAGAGCAACTCATTCGAACAGCTTTGGATCAACTTTGTCAACGAGAAACTTGCAACAATTCTTCAATCATCATATGTTCGTTCTGGAACAGGAAGAGTATTCCCGTGAAGGGATTCAATGGCAGTTCATCGATTTTGGACTCGACTTGCAAGCCTGTATTGATTTGATCGAAAAGGTACGAAATTTCACGAAGCTCCTTACCACTTTCAGGCCATTTAGAAAGGGGTGAGGAGTGGGACAAAGATCGCAGGTCCCCTTGGTAAGCTGATGGCCAATCCCTACCGAACCTTTACGAAACGTAGATGAATATTAGACCACCCCTTGCAGGCTTCCGGTTCGATAGGTACGACAGCCTTATCCTGCGCAGAGCTAAGAGTAAAATGCAAAGTGTGGGTAGCGAAAGTTTCTCAGTGGGAAAAGACCAGAAAAATGCTCGGCTCGATTAGCCTTTTTCTGAGACGCGCCACGGATTTAAGTTCCATTCAGAAACATAGTAGTGTTTGTAGGCGTACTTAGCTAATGCAAATGAGTGTGAGTTACAAAATACAATAATTATTTATGGTATTCGTATTTTTGGTTTGTTCCATTACTCTAAGCCTATCGCTTGCACTGTTTAGCGCACCTATGCGTGCATGATAAATAAATAAATAAATAAATAAATAAATAAATTAACCTGAGCGATGTGTTTTATCAATTGAGCCTAAGGAGGGTAGGTTCAGCTAGCCAAAAAGAGATTCTCCTCAGGAATCAGATCCTTTTTGATGCGTGTAAGCACGCCGCCACTAGGATACTGCCCTCATCCACCTCAGCAGTACTACTCCCTTATCTCTGACTAGCAAAAAAGTACTTAAGAGTTATTTAAGCCTCTCGGTATCATCTCTATGCTCGACGAAGAATGTATTGTTCCAAAAGCAAATGATATGACATATGTTGACAAACTGACTAATCAACATCTTGGCAAGCATCCAAACTTCCAGAAGGTACTTCGTCTGTAAAAATTATTCCATTGCAAGGAAAGATACAGAGCTTATTACAGGCGAAACCACCAAAGGGAAACCAAGCACCAGCTCATTTTGCTGTCGTTCATTATGCAGGTACCGTTCGATACAACGCTGATCAGTGGCTGGAGAAGAACAAGGTAACCCCAATACTCGCGAATGCCATCTTTTACGTCAGGACAGCTATCTAGTGACAAAAAGTGCCTCATCATCACAGCGCGTCGTAGTCATACGTTGGGGGTCCACAATCCAGGGAGGGGTCCGTATTACGTCATTTGGTCAGTGTAGGGAGGAAGGCGTGCTTGCGTTTGACAAAAAAAGTTTTCGGTTCTTTGCTACACTGCCTAGCAACCCCCACCCGTTTGGGGCGGGGAATTGAAATAGTTAATATAAAAATCGGGAAAACTTAGGAAGTGGGGGGGGGCACGATGGGGCCATGAGAGAACCTAGAGAGGGTTCATATTTTGCAAGAGTTGTTCTCAATGGCAGAACGTGTTCTGCCTGTCATATCTTGGACGGTTCGTCAAATCAAATTCTCTAATCGATCGTCGGTACAGATGGGTGGCATCTGACTCCACACAACTTCTGACGAATGGAAAAACACTTAATCGGCCACCACAACCCCAAATGGAAGTCAAGACGCATGGCGCATCCTGATGGAACTGATTAAGGTGAAGTGTTCCTGGCCCAAATCCCAAATCCCTTATAATGTTCTTAGACGAGCTAGCATTTCCAGAGTCATCGCTAGTGAGGTTATAATAGCTTCCTGGAGGTTAGCGTTATCGTTGCAGGACCCACTGAATGATTCAGCGGTAGCCGTTCTAAAGACGAGCGACAAAACCCGTCTGATCTATCAAATCTGGGAGGACTACATGACGGATGTGGACAGAGAAGAATTCGCTGCACGAGGTGGGTAACATTCTAAAACTAATACTTCAAACGCAGTCTGTGTATTGGGTAGGTCAGCAGTTGGAGCGCCACTGGTGAAAGGGCACTGCGCCATAGTCACAGGGCGCTGAGGAAGGTAGTCCAAATGCTCTTCCACAAAAGGCGCTTGAACTATTACTCCATCTCCAGACCTGCACACTCACTGCCTCCAGTCTGACCACCCATTAAATAAATGATCGAATATTTAAGGCAAGACTCAAGACCGCAAGAAAGGCAAATCAGCTTCTTTCCTTACTGTATCAACGATGTACAGGGAGTCACTTGCCAGTCTCATGTCTATGCTTCACAAAACACATCCGCATTTCATCAGGTAATCAGAAAAAGTAAAGCACTCGCCTCTTCCGAGCTGCGCCACGCAAACAGCTTCTACTCGGAATAGTAGAGGCATTTGAGGGGGTACTATACTACACATGCGTCGATACCAGGATGTCGCAACTGACAGGCATTCAGAGGTAGAGTACAGGCAGCAGGGCGCAGATAAGTAGCGCGTTTGGCTCTGGTTAAGCGGGTGAGGCACAAGCTGACGTGATATCATGTTCAGTAGGTCCAGTGCAGTAGCGCGGACGGAGTCTCGAAACGGCACCCGGGTTCCATTATTATCGAGCTACAGTGTACTTCTGAGCTGAGAATGTGACACGCCACCGCAGCTGCGGACCCATCTTGCACAAGTCAAGGGCCAGGATCCACGGAGGTGAGGGTACAATTCGTCTTCAGCGAAGACTTTAGTGTATGCTCATCTAATTAAATTAATTAATTAAATCCTTCCGGGTAAATCCTTGACCAATAACTCGTGGGACGAAAACGTCTGCCCTGGAACAATGGTTTTGCCAGGATTCGGTTCAGTGACCATACGTAGGATATCTGTCCTACATACTTCTGACTAAGATCCGCTGGTTTTTTGGTTGTCCTGAATCGCTTAACTGGCGCTAGACTTCCTAGCAGAGTGAGGACATGGACTTACGTTTGTTAGCCCCTTGCAGTTTGGTGTTGGGACCAGTACCCACTCAAATAACCTTGCAATTCTCAACAGAAGTTTAAATGCGAGGCGCACTCCCGATTAGTCGACGTGGGGCTTATTATCATTCAATAAACCACACTTCAGATGCATAATCCCGAACGAGAAGAAAACCAGTGGACTCATCGATGCACCACTTGTCCTTAATCAGGTAAGGCAGCGTTCAGACTTCGCGACGGCAGCGCTTCGGTCGCGCGTTTGAGATGACCATCGATGCGCACACTTTCGACTGCATCGATCGAACGTGGCGACCGGAGGCTGCGCGTCGTCGCGAAGGTCTGAACACTGGGCCTAATATCTTTAGACCAATATGTTAGCAGGGGGCATCCTAATTTTTGGTATTTCGCCTTCGCATTCATCTAATTTCTTAACTCGTATTTTTCCCCACTTTCAATTCTCTATATCACGTGAATTTTTAATCTCTTTATGGTGCCGATTTTGTAGCTGACCTGCAACGGCGTACTGGAAGGTATTCGAATCTGCCGTAAAGGTTTCCCTAACCGTATGACGTTTGGCGACTTCCGTTTCCGATATGCTATTTTGGCTGCTGATGAGGCATCTGGGAACGATGTTGCGGAGGTAAAACCATACTCAACCTAAAATGACGCTAATCAAAGTTGAAGAAGTGCTTCATGCCATATTTTGCTATATTTTTAACCTTAGAAAGTTGTTAAATCGTAAAAAAAATCGAAACCCAGGCTTTCGCCTAATGCAGTGAGGTCTTGTGATGTTCAATAAGATGTCAGTTAGGGACAATTTTGTCTTAGCAAATTGGACATAATGGGAACTCAAATAATATTCTGGGCGCCTTCGTCCTAGAGGGGGCGTTGTGCGCGCGCGATCAGGGGGAAAGTGCGGTTTATACTACACTAGTGCTGCGCACATAGAGGAAGTGGGCATAGAACAGTTCCTGCAACTCTTTTTCTCTTTAAACTAGCCTAGAATGTTGAAAGTATTCTCCGTAAGTCTAGTTACCTTAATGGGTTTGGAGTTGATCATAAAAAGGAAAGCAAAGGCTAGTCGAAGACACATTTCACGCTCATCATATGGGCCGAGCTGGCCTACCATTGCGCATTCCTCATTGGTGCGCTCCTCTGTCGTATAAAAGACAATAAGGCCCAGACACCAATGAGAAAAGCGCAAAAGTATGTTCAGCCCTGCCCATGCAACACTGTGGATTACATATGCCTTCGAATGGACAAGAATTTTATGAAAATAGGCTTTTTAGGCATCAAAGAAAATGCTCGAGAGACTCGTCAAGGAGGATAAAATCAAAGATGAAAATTTCAAAGTTGGTTCAACTAAAGTGAGTAATTTGCCTCGCTATCAAAATCATAAACCGGTCATCCTCTATTGTTGAAGCGGTGTTATGTAATGCTTGTTATACTTATGTTATCGTAAACTTGTAAA